GAAAATTCATTAATAAAAACTATAAATATTTAATATTCTATAACAAGAATCTTCGGTAGATATTTAAAAGAATGAATAAACAATAATATATATTCATATTGGCATTAACATAATGTGAAAATTTTGTATAAGAAGAGCGATATGTAAATATTTTCAATAATAAAAAAATAAAAAATAAAATCCGCCCACCCGCCCCAATTTTTTAGCAAATTAGGATGAGAATCTAAATTTTAAATTTATGTGGCCTAAAAGGTTCATTTTATTACTAAATATGTACCACTGCATATAGTGTTAATTACATATAGCAAGCACCTTTTCTAGCTTTTAGAATTTCAGCAATCCCCAAGGTCAATGTTGAGTTTTGTAAAAAGACCGTCCATGTAGTAAAGTGTAACGTGCGGAAGTCTCTTTCTCCAGTTATCTGCATTTTTTTATGATACTAAAGCATCTCTTTACTCATGTAAGAATGGACAATATATTTAAATGGCTAAGCAGACCAAAAAAAGTTATACATTAAATTTCATCTTGCTGTCACACAGAGTTGCTCTGATTCATTTCTCCTTGAATCTACAGTTAAAACACTTTAGATCACAATGTTTTGTTTACATAAACCTAGAACCCTAAGTTATGTGTCAAATGAGATTTTTGGTGTTGTGAGGGCCAGAGTTAAAAAAAAATGTGACTTTTGTAAGTAATTCAAAGTACAGTTGAACTAAGTTATCTCCAACACTGATATCTTAAGGAGGAGAAGGACACATGGTCACATGATTCTGTTTAACTACGTCATAGTCTCCGTTTATATAAGTGCAAAACGTGTAAAGCGTCAGTTCTTGTATAAATTTTTGACAATGTTTTAACTTTAATTACCATCTTATTTAAAAAAAAAGTAAAAAGTTTCAACATTCTGGTAAACATTAACAAATTATGAAAAAGATTGATCCACTCCTCTGTTTCCAAAACTGCGCGTCCAACAAGTCGGTGACGTCATACACGATCTGTTAGTACAGCAAGATCATACTCGGTTATTATGTAAAAACAGGTCATAATCGGTATATGATGAAATATTTCGAGAAACGGGGAACACAAAAATTATTTTTGCATGGCTGATGACGGAAATCTTATGTAGGTATATCTTATTTCGCTTATTTAGCTTACGTGTGACGTCACAGTTAGTTTTTCCCGTACTCGAGAAATGTAACATGACACGTTTTTTGTCATGCTTATGTCCTCTTTAACGATGTCCTGTGAAATATTGAGGTCAGCTTCATCATTCGAAATTTTTACAGTTCATCAATAATTTGAAGGATTTGCATTTCAACGTAAATAAAAAAAATATTGAATGATATAATTTTTTGTAAATTACGTTTTTTATTGTTTAAGTTGCCTTAAAAAGTGCGTAATTTTCCATATCCAGATGCAGTGTGATAGACAAAACTTGCTTTTTCGAATTTTCAATCTATTTATACTCTGTATTATTTTAAAAGATACATGTCCACTTTAATATTTTTTTATATTTGCTTAAAAAATCCCATTATGGACAGAGTGATGAGTCCGGAAACATGGAAAATTAAAACTCCACTTAGATACTGTAGGGCATAGTATTTGTCAATCAATATCTCCAAAATAAGGTAAGAAACCTAATGATATAACTGCTTTATGATATGTGGGACATACTTAATAAGAAATATACAAAATATGAAAAAAATTGAATGACAAGTATTTTTTCAGCTCAAGGTCCTTCTCCTCCTTAAATACCATAGCTATGTCGAAATGATTGGGAAGTCTCTACACACTTATTCTTTAAGTATTTTACCCTCTATATCTCGAATCTTTGGATATTTTGACGTTTTTCCTTGGTTCCATTGAGTTCAATTAGAGTAGTCTACTTGTGTACCAAGTTTTACTGAAACTGTAGATTTTAAGAAGCATTTTGAAAGAATTTCAAAGAAATTTCCATATTTTGTAATCATACCAACCATGTTCAGCAAAATCAAAATTTGATATATAGAATTATATAGTATAGTCTACTTATGTTCTAAGTTAAATTGATATTAGAAAAAAAAATGAAGGAGGATTTTTTTTAAAAAGTATTTCATAGAAATTTGAATTTTTAGCAACCATGGCAGCACCATTCAACCAAAATCAAAAACTGATTAAAACAATTATGTATCTTAGTGTAGTCTACTTGTGTACAAAGTTTTACTGAAATCAGACCAAATCTATAGAAGGACTAGAGTTTTGAAAGAATATAAATTTACAAGAGTTTTCTATTTTTAGAAACCATGACAACACCATCCATTGACATCAAAAGTCTATATGCAGAATTATGTAAATTGAATCTGATACAAAGAATTATATATATCTTAGTGTTGTCTACTTGAGTATCAAGTTTTTCTTAAACCAAACCAAAACTGTATGAGGGTTTGCATTTTGAAAAATTGTTTACAGACAGACAAACAGCTAGATGGACACCTGACTAAAGCATAAACTCTTCTGGTTTCTGACCAGTAGAGCTAAAAACTAAGAGTAAATGAAGTTGAATACCTGAGTTTTTTTTTTCAAATTACTTACAAATTTTGTAGAGTCATGCATAGAGTCATTAGAATGATTCTTTAAACTATCATTCTTTGAAATATTATTTGCTGCATATAAAAATACAAGTTGGAAATGAATGGTCCAATGACGTCAATCAAATAGGTGTTTTCAACATAATTAATCTATCACTTAGAATTGAAAATGAAGATCAAAGATTTTTTCAAACATTGTTTTATTCTAAAATTGAAAGGAAAGTCAAAAACTAGGGTAAAGTCCCAAATTAATGGTTTATCATACAGAAATTTTGAAAAGGCTTGTTGATAAAGTAAAACACACTCTGAAAATAAAAATATATTAAAAAAAAAAAAAAATAATAATAATAATAATTTTCTTAAAATTAGGTCAAATGGCAAGCTTACAAAGTCAGTGAATCTAGTACTTTATTATTAAAAAAAACTTTTATCAACATGGTGTCAATCAAAGCTCAACTCAAAAGGATTGTTTTAATAAGTAGGTTAAGGATCAAGGTCACAAGGTCTTTAACCCCAAACTAACAATCTTAATATTCAAGCCTGATAAATCAGACTTAAAAGATGGTTTACCTTAAAAACTGTACTCAATTTTTAAAAATATCTGTTAAATATAGAACTGTAAAAAAACCTGATAATGCTGTGAGAGTTTGAAAGGTACTAGTGGGTCAACAAAATTCTCAAATAATACCTGTCAAAAGTTTTTAATAATTCATCACTTGCCAATAAACATGTTTGTTGACAGCTGAAAAATTTTATTTGAATTCTTAACTGTCATATAAGATAAATTAGACAGTCATACATGCTATCTTATCAAATATATACCATCGTCCTAGATCTATTTGTGATGAGTTCCTGGATGAAAAAAAAGAATGTTCCAAGAAATACTTCTATTTTCACTTCATTTAAAAAAAATTCTTTTTCATTTAAAGAATACTAAGCATAGACTTTTTTATTTCATGTTCTTGACTGACAGCTCTCATCTGAAGTGTCTTCCACCGCAAAAGAATTTTTGTTTTGTCACAATACTATTGTACAGATGAAATGTGAAGACGACGAACGGTGACAATGCATTCTCAAAAGTCCAATTTAAACAATACAAATTAAGAACCTCTGAAAACAGAGGTGGGATCAGGTGCCATGGAAGAGTAAGCATTCCCTGTTGACTGGTCACACCCACCATGTGCTCCTTCATTGTCATAATCAGGTAGACAATTTATTGTGAATGAAAGACAGTAGTCAACACTCTATCATGTATCTCTAAGATTCCAAAATCTTTCATGATTTGAATATGCTTGAATGTACATTTTTGCAGAAAGCTTGTATATTGTAAACTTGTTCATTAAAAGACTTTAAAAACTTTAGCCTCTTGGTGCTGCAGAGAACATGGTTAAATTGAAAATCAATGGAAACACAGTTGTTCAAATAAACAAATGCCTCCTTTAAAGTTTGATTTTTGTAGGCTCTTCTTTTCATACGACAAGGTTTTAAGCACAAAATTATTAATTGCATATAGCGTTAATTAATATTTTTAACACAACAAGTGATATAGTCCATAAATTTTCAAATTTTTGACAATGTGAAGTAAGCAAAAGAAATGGTTCAAGTTCACTATAAATTACTCTCTCTCCAGGAAATCATCAATAATTTTGAAACACACCAAGATACATGCATAACAAGCACTTCAGTAAACAAAGATTTCATGAATATTTAGTCTCAAAAGAGTGTGACATCGTTTTAAACTGCTAGCCTATCAAAGCTTTTGATTGTGGAAAACCTGTTGAATTTCTGTAAAATGTAGTGTTCATGCTTTGCTTCCATATATAGTTAGGGCTTATGAGGTTGCATTTTAATTAACTTTATTTCATTTCTTTCCATAAGAACTTTGGTAAATTTGCATGGTTTTGCAATTTTCAGAATCCTCATAACTTTGGCAAAAAGTAAATATAAACTTTTCCCTGTTGAAATAAACACAAAGTAATAGGCAGTATCACCTTATGAAGCAATACATAGAAAAACACAGTTTCAGCAAGCATATGCTTATAATGAATTCACACTTACAGCAAACTGATTTTCATTCCTGTTAGTTTTAAAACATATCATGAACTTTTACTACATAAGGAATTACGTTTATGACGAATCATAATTGTTTGTCCCTGACAAGATGCTATAAGCATGTTTTACTGTATATTTTACCTTGCATGCAACTCAAAATTTTCTGAAGAAAGAAGTTTTTTTTTAGCTTTGGAAAGGGGAATTGTAGCTGAACAATTTAAAAATGATAATTCTTTGTGTCATCTATTAAGGAAACAGAATAAAACACTCACAGCTGCATTCTGATATATTTCTTGTTAAAAAAAAATGTAATACGATAGGCAAGTGAGTATTACATTGCTTGATTATGTTAAGTGTCATATAAATTGAATGATCACTAACTTGTAGATAACCGACAAATCGGACGACTCCCCAGCCCAGTCTTCTGGTGTCCGGCTCCACTAATATCATCTGTAACTTGTCTATGACCAGGAAACGCCTCTCTTGCTTTCTCCTGCAAATGTACCAAAAAAAAAAAATAAATAAATAGAAATAAAATAAAAACTGATTAGCTAGAACAAGGTACAATTGTACAGATTGTTACTGGTCATTGAACAACAGCTGGATTAAAATTTGATTTGTTCTCTTGTTTCATTCTTGGGACAAAAAATAACAGTAAAATCTGAGAACAGTCACAATCTATGACCAAAAAAAAAAAGAAAAAAATTGCATGAAATTGGGAGCATGTGCAAAGAAATAGAGACCTGTGTGTTATCTATTGTTTTTCTGAGGAATTTGTCAACAGAACTTTTGTGTTTTAAAAAGAAAAATCAGACATATACTGATACGCAAAAGAAACGCATCATCCTATTTTAGAAAAAAAACTAGAAATATGTCCATAGGACATGAATGCCCCGCCAAGGGTATATTAGTAATGCAACATTTTAACACAAATTGAGAAAAGTGAGGTCAAGGTCAAAGGAAAGGTCAAGGTCAAAAAATATTGCTGCAGTTGAATAGCTTACATCAGTATGTATCAGCATATGACGTTTGATTCAGAAACTAATTTAAGAAAAGTGAGGTCAAGATCAAAGGAAAGGTCAAGATCAAAAAATGTTGATGTAGTTGAAAAGGTTACATCAGTATGTATTAGCATATGAAGTTTGATGAAAATATTATGAATGGTTTCTTTAAAACTGAGCTAAACACTAATTTAAGAAAAGTGAGGTCAAGGTCAAAGGAAAGGTCAAGGTCAAAAAAAATTGATGCAGTTGAATAGCTCTCATCAGTATGTATCAGCATATGAAGTTTGACACTAATTTAAGAAAAGTGAGGTCAAGGTCAAAGGAAAGGTCAAGGTCAAAAAATGTTGATGCAGTTGAAAAGGTTACATCAGTATGTATTAGCATATGAAGTTTGATGAAAATATTATGAATGGTTTCTTTAAAACTGAGCTAAACACTAATTTAAGAAAAGTGAGGTCAAGGTCAAAGGAAAGGTCAAGGTCAAAAAATATTGATGCAGTTGAATAGCTCTCATCAGTATGTATCAGCAAATGAAGTTTGACACTAATTTAAGAAAAGTGAGGTCAAGGTCAAAGGAAAGGTCAAGGTCAAAAAATGTTGATGCAGTTGAATAGCTCTCATCAGTATGTATCAGCATATGAAGTTTGATAACACTATCTTGAATGGTATCTTTAAAACTGAGCTAAAAACTTATTTAAGAAAAGTGAGGTCAAGGTCAAAGGAAAGGTCAAGGTAAAAAATATTGATGCAGTTGAATAGCTCTCATCAGTATGTATCAGCATATGAAGTTTGTTAAAAATATCTTGAATGGTCTCATTAAAACAGAGCTAAACATTAATTTAAGAAAAGTGAGGTCAAGGTCAAAATAAAGGTCAAGGTCAAAAAAATGTTGATGCAATTGAATATCTTACATCAGTATGTATCAACATATGAAGTTTGATTACACTATCTTGAATGGTATCTTTAAAACTGAGCTAAACACTAATTTAAGAAAAGTGAGGTCAAGGTCAAAGGAAAGGTCAAGGTCAAAAAATGTTGATGCAGTTGCATAGCCCTCATCAATATCTATCAGCATATGAAGTTTGATAAAAATATCTTGGATAGTTTCTTTGAAACTGAGCTTTGAACAGAGCTAAACGCGAAGTGTGACGGAAGGACAGACGGAAGGACAGAAGGACGGAAGGACGGAAGGACGGAAGACGGACATGACAAACACTATATGCCCCGGCCATATTCATGGCGGGGCATAAAAAATCGGATATTGGCTAAAAATTTTACTTCAACAGTAAGGACATCTTCAACATTAGTCAGTCATTTAATGGATGAATGATTTTCATCTCTGTACTGAACCAAAGTCCAAGCCCCACTGAATGTAAATCATATATTGCATGTTTAATAACAAAATTGGTTATGCTTTAGGCTTACAAAAGTTTGTTTCTGTTCACCATAAGTATTGTACCATTATTCCAAAAAAAAGTTCTCATTTCTTTTTACAAGTGATGCAGAGGTTTCCTGAAAATGACTATAAGCATGCATTTCTAATTTTCTATTGCTTCTAGATGGAAATTTTCAAAATAAAGATGAAAGAGCATTTCAGATGCAAAGATGCACTATATTATGCCTCATCGTGCTCATATGTCTAACTTAAATGACAGTCTGTAGACCAGAAGTCCAATGGTTAATACACTGCACCAAGTTCGAGAAAATTCAGCCTCAGCAACATTTCTTTCATTCAAATCAAGAGACTGATGAACTTAGTGCATCATATAATTCAAGCTGCAATTGTTTTGCAGGCAGACTTGAAGACTTGAAAGCTAAAATGAGGGGGTTGGGGTTGGGGGGTTGAATGGTTACCTATTACTTTCTAAAGTTCAAAGATGTTCAACATTTCAATCATCAATTCATCAGTGTTTTTAAATTAAGTTATCTCCTACTGTTAAAATATGTATTGTGAATATCATAAGATAAAAAATTCAGATAGTTGTACCTAACTGCTTGTTGTGTTTCTGTTGTGCTCAGTATATTTAGCAACCTAATCTGATAAGCCAAACTAAATTCTATAAAAATGCCATTTCATGATGTCTTTCCCCAACATAGAGGAATATAATGGTTTTATCATGATTATCAATGTCTGACCTTCCAAAAATACAAGGGTAGAGCTTCTATGGCTGAGAGTATCACAAGGAAGAAGTGAGATTCCCCCCCCCCCCCCCCCCCCGAGAAAAAGGGAATTTTTTTCATATGTAGATGGATTTTCATCATAGGTATATTTGCATTGATAATGAACAAAAACTTACGTATCTCTCATGACAACTGTGCAAGCGATGAGGTCACTGTTATCTGAAGTAGAAAAAAGAAACTGAATCAATACCAAAAAAGAAGAAAAATCAAACCAGTGGTTATTAAACAATACGGCTTATTCATGCTCTCAATAAAGCATATTTCTTATCAACAGATTATTTTTAAATATATATAGATTTAAGGAAAAGCTGGAAACATGACACAAAAACATGATGTGTTTGTGAAACAATGATGCCCCCCCCCCCCCCCCCCCCTTATGGCAGCTCATGGCTAAGGTTAAAGATTCTCAAATGGAAGTCAAACTCCAAGGTCAAGGTCAAGAGATCAAAAATGTTGGTACCTAAAGAAAGGTCTTGTCACAAGGAATACACCTGTGAAATATGAAAGCCCTTGCAGCAACCATTCAGAAATTATGTCAAGGTTAAAGTTTCTTGAAGTAGGTCAAATTCTGTTGTCAAGGTCAATGTCATGAGGTAAAAAAGACTTGTATTTAAGAAAAAGTCTTATCATAAGAAATACATCTGTGAAATGCACATCTACACACTGTGTACTAAATATCTGCAAAGTTGATCAAATTCTGTGCAGTGGTTTAAGAGGAGTTGCACCGACAAACTGTTCATCTCTATATTCAAGATATGGCCAAAAATCTAAGTTGAAAAGTGCCGAAATTCCCAGAAAAATAACGGAATCAGAATTTCCTGGTAATATGCACATCTACACATTGTGTCCTAAATATCTGCAAAGTTTGACAAAATTCTGTGCAGCAGTTTAAGAGGATTTGCACTGACAAAAAAAAGGACTGACTGACTGATGGACAGGTCAAAAACATTATACCCCCTGCAACTTGGTGCATGGGGTATAAATATAGGATCAGTATTAACCAACTGCATGAAAATTTTGAATTCCCATTCAAAATTCTGTATTCTGTACTGTCATGAACCATAAATATTATTAAAACCTTAAAATGATACTGAAGTAAAAACTATTTTGTTTTCATATGATGATCAGTATAAAGACGCTTATAACAAAGTGCCAGGAATAGATAATTTTGCTTTGTTATTACATGTAATGTAATTCATTATATCTGTTAACTTTACTACGTATTTTAAAGCTTGGGGAATGAAAATCACTTAGCTGTAAACTTTATTTATTTATTTATAAGCATGATCGCAATAAGCCTGTTATACTGTATAGAGGCATTTTTTTTTTAAAAAAATAACTGCACTTTATTGTTATTTTATAGTAGTTACTAGGAAGAATGCAGGATATTATCACCAGTTGTTCATAGGTGCCTGTTTTAAATGTATATATTTTATTTGTATGTTTATTAATTTCATCCAATGTACAATATTTCAGATGAATTCAAGGTAATTCCTCACAGGTGCATTACATATGCATTGTCTATTGATAAAGATCTAGGGTACACCCTTCATATACACAATATCAAACTCACATCAGTTTACAAACATTTTAAGTGTTGTTGATATTATTTTGATATTATTTTCTTTTTTTCCAAATAAAAAGCGTAATTAAAGCTGAGAAATTTGCGGGGTTTTCCAAATAGTCATTTTCTTAAAATAGTTTTAGGCTTTCCATTTATGAATGACATACTTCTTATCTATAGATTTGGTCTGGTAACTGTAAATTACATAATCCTTCATTGCAAACTTTGGTCATTCAAAAACCATTTAATATTATCAAAAATAACTTCTATGGTCTAGTATTTCAGTGAATGAGTGATCATGCTCAAATTACGATCTATTTCTGAATATTTATCATAGAAAACTTGATAACATTCTATAGTTTTGCTAAAAAGTAGTGTATATATACTCAAGCATTAGTATCATCAAAACATGTTTTTAACTCACCTGAGCTGAAAGCTCAAGTGAGCTTTTCTGATCACCTGTTGCCAATGTTGACCTGTAGTCAATCTGTCCGTTTGTAAACTTTTCAACTTCTCAAAAACCACTGGTCCACTTTTAACCACCAAAGTTGGTACAAAGCATCCTTGGGTGATGGGGAGTAAAAAAAATGTTAAAATGAAGGGCCAAGCCTCTTCCAAGGGGAGATAATCAAGAAAAGGCAAAAATAGTGTGGGGTCATTAAAAAATCTTCTTCTCAAGAACCACTGGTCCAGAAAAGCAGAAACTTATGTGGAAGCTTCCTGAGGTAGTGTAGATTCTAAATTGTTCAAATCATGAGCTCCCCCCCCCCCTTCAGGGTAAGGTGGTGCCACAATAGGGAATCAAAGTTTTATACTGAAATATATAGGAAAAAGCTTTTAAACTAGAAATATGTCCATAGGACATGAATGCCCCGCCAAGGGTATATTAGTAATGCAACATGAAAATTTGTATTAGTGTATGAAATTTGATGAGAATATCTTGAATAGTTTCTTTAAAATTGAAATTGAAATCTAAAAAGTTGGATATAGATGAAAAATTCTCGCCAAATTATGTATAAGTGCATAAACTTACATAAATATATCTTAAATGGTTTCTTTAAAATTAAGCAAAATGCAAATCTAAGAAAAGTGAGGTCAAGGTCACAGGAAAGTTCAAGGTCAAATGTTTTGATGCAGTTGAATACTTCTCACAAATACGTATCAGCATATTTAAGTTTGATAAAAATATTTTGAATGGTTTATTTAAAACTGAGCTAAACACTAATTTCAAATAAATGAAGTTAAGGTCAAAGGAAAGGTCAAGGTCAAAAAATGTTGATGCAGTTGAAAAGGTTACATCAGTATGCATTAGCATATGAAGTTTGATAAAAATATTATGTTTTCTTTAAAACTGAGTTAAACACAAATTGAGAAAAGTGAGGTCAAGGTCAAAGGAAAGGTCAAAGTCAAAAAATATTGATGTAATTGAATAGCTTACATCAGTATGTATCAGCATATGAAGTTTGACACTAATTTAAGAAAATTGAGGTCAAGGTCAAAGGAATGGTCAAAGTCAAAAAATGTTGATGCAGTTGAATAGCTCTCATCAGTATGTATTATTATTTGAAGTTTGATAACACTGTATTGAATGCAGGGTTGTCCCTAAGAATTGAAATAGAAGGGGACATTCAAAAAGTAGAAGGGGAACTGGGGTTCCTCCCTTACTGGGGAGTATAGGAGGAATACCGAAATAACCGGGGGATTACATCATTATAGGCGGGGAAATTCCCCGGCCCCCGGGTCTTAGAGACAATTCTGTGAATGGTATCTTTAAAACTGAGCTAAACACTAATTTAAGAAAAGTGAGGTCAAGGTCAAAGGAAAGGTAAATGTCAAAAAATATTGATGCAGTTGAAAAGCTCTCATCAGTATGTATCAACATATGAAGTTTGAAAAAAATATCTTGAATGATTTCATTAAAACTGAGCTAAACACTAATTTAAGAAAAGTGAGGTCAAGGTCAAAGGAATGGTCAGGGTCAAAAAATTTTGATGCAGTTGAATAGCTCAAATCAGTATGTATCAACATATGAAGTTTGATTACACTACCTTGAATGGTGTCTTTATAACTGAGCCAAACACTAATTTGAGAAAAGTGAGGTCAAGGTCAAATGAAAGGTCAAGGTAAAAAAAATGTTGATGCAGTTGCATAGCTCTCATCAATATCTATCAGCATATGAAGTTTAATAAAAATATCTTGGATAGTTTCTTTGAAACTGAGCTTTGAACAGAGCTAAATGCAAAGTGTGACAGAAGGACGGAAGACAGACATGACAAACACTATATGCCCTGGCCATATTCATGGCGGGCATAAAAATCTTCAAGAACCACTAGGCTAGAAAAGCTTAAACTTAGGGGAAAGCCTCCTGAGGTAGTGTAGATTCTAAATTGTTTAAATCATGACCCCTAGGGGTAGGGCCGGGCCACAACAGTGAATCAAAGTTTGACATTGAAATATAGGAAAAATCTTTAAAAATCTTCTTCTCATTAACCACTGGTCCAGAAAAAGCTGAAATTATATGGAAGCTTCCCGAGGCAGTGTAGATTCTAAATTGTTAAAATTATGACCCTGGGGGTAGGGTGGGGCCACATTAAGTATTACAAGGGGGAAAATCTGGAGAACAACAGCATGGCTAAAGTTAATCAGGTGAGCATTGTGGCCCATGGGCCTCTTGTTTACAAATTAGATCATTTAGCAGGCCATTAGACATTTAATACTAAGGTAATTACAATAACATTTTTCCATCTACTAAAATGCATTTTCCTTAATATGAATGAGTTCCACATACATTTATGTGTACTTTACTAGGAATAATAATTTAAGTCACACATTATCTAAATGACAGAGATTAATTATACCTTTAATATATAAATGTCCAATAGATAGTATATTAAACAATAACAAAAATAGATGATTCTGAGGTTTTATATTTCCTCAGATATTTTTGAAAAAAGTATTCTTACACAATAAAATCCCCTTTTAGAACTCATAAAAAAAATCATGTGTTTTAATTATAGACTTCCATTGTTTTCTTAGAAAAAATCTATTAAAAAAACCACTAATATCTTTTTCATTAACATTTAAACAAAAACTTCATAACTTTAAACAATTTTCAGTCACGAAGACTTGTACTTTAAAAGATTTTAATCCACACAAATATTCCTCTTTTTTTGGGGAAAAGATCACAAACACCAGGTGGTTACTTTATACAGCTTCCAACTGTCTAAATTAATTCTAAGACATGAATTACATGTATATTAAATGTAGACTAGTGCTATATACATGCAGCCTATCTCCGGATATATTGAACTTCAGAGGACTGCAGACAAATGTTCAATACATCCGATAACTGTAAAGGCTGTGATAAACACTTCATTGAACTACATGTGTGTACAATTATGATCATCCTGTGAAATACAACCACACAAACGTGTTTAAGTGTTTTAAGAAAGTAAATACTTATATGTTTCATGCACAGGTACTGTATACAGGGTTATTTTACCCCGTTTTAAATTTGCCCAGTAACAATTCTGTTTTAAATAATTATACTGTGTTTTTTTTAATTCGCCCTGTTTTAAATTCGCCCACTTGTGTG